CCGCCGACAGTAGACTTTATTTCCAAATTGTATGATACTGTAGTACATATTGGTAGTAATACGTTGCTTTAAAATGTGTTTGTTTACATCAAATTAGAAACCTCTGAAGTTATCAGCGTTTTTCTATTATATAATGCATTATATATATTTAAAAAATTCCCTTGGTGTGCTTTTGGTGACTCGGGCAGTAAAACATTCTCTTGGTGTGCTTTTACTGCCACTTACAGTAGAAGTTCACTTGATATGCTTTTACTGCCACCGTTAGGAAAAGCTCATTTGTTGTGCATTGTTTTGAAGGAGCTTTTACTGCCGACGCCAGTAAAAGCTCCTTAGGTGTGCTTTGTTTTGCGGGAGCTTTTACTGCCGGTGGCAGTAAAAGCTCCTTTGGTGTGCTTTGTTTAGAAGGAGCTTTTACTGCCGATGGCAGTAAAAGCTCCTTTGATGTGCTTTGTTTTGCGGGAGCTTTTACTGCTAAAGGCTGTGCTTTATTTTGGGGAAACTTTTACTGCCGCCGACATTGAAAAATTCACTTGGAATGCTTTTACTGCCGCCGACAGTGAGAAATTCAGTTGGTGTGCTTTTACTGCCGCCGACAGTAGACTTTATTTCCAAGTTGTATAATGCTTTAGTACATATTAGTAGTGGTACGTTTCTTCAAACTATCTCGTACGGTTCAGCCAGCGATTGCAATGTATGCGCAAAAAATGTGTTTGCTTACATTGAATTAGAAACCTCTAAAGTTATCAGTGTTTCTCTATTACAAACCTTCCTATAGAATCACTCTATTATTTTATATTATGTATTGATCTACAGTATTCGTTGATTTAAAAAATCAGCTTGAAGAATAAATATTCTTTTTTGAATGCAATGCAGCGCCATCTTTTGATTGCAATGTATGCGCAAAAAATGTGTTTGCTTACATTGAATTAGAAACCTCTAAAGTTATCAGTGTTTCTCTATTATAAACCTTCCTATAGAATCACTCTATTATTTTATATTATGTATTGATCTACAGTATTCATCGATTTAAAAAATCAGCTTGAAGAATAAATATTCTTTTTTGAATGCAATGCAGCGCCATCTTTTGATCGCTAACCAAAGTTGAAGACTATTTTCTGTGTATTGCGCCATCGCTTGAACAATAGCTAAAGGTAATCACTAATTTAGTGTTTTTACTTTTTGGAATCTAATGTATCGCCATCTGTCAAACAGTAGTCGAAGTTACCACTTATCTATGTTCTTAGTTTTCAGCAGCGTACTGATTTTTTGAAAATTAAAAAGTTTTCAATGCGCCATCTATTAGTCGATAGTCAAACTAGATGTTCATTTTGTGTTCTTACTTTTCAATGTGTACGCTCTGCCATCTCTTAGACAGTAGGCGAAGTTTATATCCCTTTCTATTTTTTCACTCAGATTGAGAAATAGTTATCTATTGAAGATTTCCTCATTTCTATTCCTTCTCCTACTAAGAACCTTTTATTTTATTTTCAGAAAAGTACATTTCAACAAAATAAATGGAAAATAATTATGAAATTCGGTGAAAACTCGACAAAACGATGTTTGTAGTAAAAAAAAACCCTGCAGTCGTGTTCGGGAAAAAAAAACTATTCATTTACTATTATTTTTATTGTTATTATCGTCAGTATATGGTTGGAAGAAATCAATTTCCAAATCAGTCAAATACTTATGAACAGCACAGTACATAAAGTAAAACCTCAAGGAATGGAATATAAAAGAGTTGGAAATGTTAAAACAATTTGTTTCCAAACCATCACTATGAAATAAAGCTAAAAAAGTATGTGATCTTCTTAAAATCTAATGATAAAAAAGGGTACATCAAAAGTATAAATAAAAAAACTTAATACAAAGGCAGAATGGGAATTATGACGAAGACGACGCCTACAAGAAGAAACTCTAANAGGGTACATCAAAAGTATAAATAAAAAAACTTAATACAAAGGCAGAATGGGAATTATGACGAAGACGACGCCTACAAGAAGAAACTCTAAACTATGTCATGCAAATTTAAAAATCTATACACAATTTATCACATATCGATCTGGGAAATAAGTTACTGAGTTAACGATTATTCCGTTTCAGAGTATACTGTGTATGCGCGCGGCCTCAAACGGAAGAAGATCGCTCGCTATGGTAGCTTAAGAGAGAAGGCATCTTCTTGTTGACATTTTCAATAATTTCCATCCACATTTCCAGCCTCTCGTTCCAATACTCGGGCCCTTTCAGATCCACATCGGGAACGGAGTTTTCGACGGTTTCTTGAGATTTATCGCTGACTTTTTCTGTGAAAAAATGATTCTGTTAAAATCTGTTTCAAACGACAACCCTCAGAAGTTTTGTGCGAGCCGAGGATCAACGAGATCTCATCTTTCGACACAAGTTCGATACAGTAAACCAGTGATTGTTGTACCTACCGACTATAGTTGCTTGCGCAGTCTTCCTGGAGTCTTCGATCTCTTTCAGTCCGTTCTTGATGTAGTCTTTGAAAAATTTGCTAGAATTCGCTAGAAAGGGCTCAATATCGGCCTCTGGATGCTGCTGCATGAAGTCGTACAATAAATTCAACCCCGTTTTCGTCTCGTCCTTACTGCCGATCTTCTGAAATATTTCCGTCAACATTTTGTGGTTTTCTCTGGAGAGCGACCTACGCTGTGGTTCCGGTTTCACAATCGTATTTTGGATATCGGTGATTTTCAAACTCTGAAAGAAAGCGAGATATGAGTTTGCTGCCCTAGAAAATTTAATCTTTGAAGTTTAGATTGTAACTATGTAAGACTGTATACACAGTAATTTAGCAATAATCATGACATAAACTGTCAAAGGCATTCAAAAATACTGTGTAGTTCTTCTCATAGTTTTCGAATAACCTCCACACTCCATTATACTGTGCAACCCATTATCAATACCCCGGCTTCAAATTATCAGTCAAAACTCACCTTCAGCACCCTCAAAATATACGACTCAACCTCCGACTCGCTAGTGTTCGGTATTTTGCCCAAGTGAAGCATAATGGTGCCCCCCTTGATCTTAGCGCTCGAATGGATGATAGTTTTGACTGTCCTCAAGGGGGTGTCCGACTCTTTCGTCTTCCACCATGACGAAGGGAACTTCTTAAGAAAGTAGTGCACCTCCAAGAGCACCGAATCGTAATCGATGTCGTCACCCCACTGCGGCATCAGCTTGATCACCCTCCACAGGCATTTCATGACCAGATCGACGTGTCTCGGGGAACTGTCGAGCGTTATGCATTCGTTGATGAGTTTCACCAACGCGCTGAAACGTAAATGAAATACTAGTCGATACAA